TAATATGAAATGTTGTAATATTTCACATAAAAAGGATGTAATATTTACACTGAATGTAATAATTGCGTAATTTTTGTACAATTTTTGCATAATATTACACTATTTATGTAAGTTTATGGTGGGCCCCATAATATTACATAAATTTGCGTCAGAAAAAATTTCCTGATGTTAATGGATGAAGCTCAAGAATGGTTCCATAGTAAACCTTAATAAAAACCTTCTTGATATAATGGATTTCTCAATATAATGGATTTTTGGAAAATTTTCCCTAATTGCCCAAACTATCCACTAAATCAAGTTTCACTGTGTATTACTATAAAATAAATTCCTAAGTTTTTAGTTAGATATGGAGCTAATATATTGACATTTTTATTTTATGATTATGAATATACATACTCTTATTTGCATTTTTTTTCTATTTACTTATTATTGTTATTGTGACTAATAATCTAAAATAATGTATTTACTAATTATCACAATAAATATTCAACCTTCAAAGCCCATTGCTCCACATATTTTAAGATAGTGGACTGATTGGAAACATCATGTGTGTTCTCAATATCAGTTCCTTTGTTTTTCTTGACAACTTGAGGTTTTTGGTAGGTATAAGTTTCATATTTATCCGGTGGTACCATAAAGTAGAATCGAATAGGCATTTTAGGATCCTTTTTGTATGCTGGTGTATTTTTAACAATTTTGATCATTTCATTATGTAATGGACGATGATTTTGGCTCAGAGTAACTTGAAATATTTTATCAGGTATAATGAAGTAATCAGCAACAGAAAAGCTAGAAATTGTTGGTATAATCAATCTCTCTTCATCATAATTAAAATTGCTTAGATTTTCTGGAACTTGTATATAACCGGTTTCTGGTTTTAGTGGAAGACTCAAATCTTCTTTTCGTGCATTGTCACTCTTATTTTCTTTCAGTTCCCTAGTTTGAAGAGTAACACCACCTGTTTGAAGGAGTAGAGAACAGTATGTTTCAAACATGATACCTTTAGACTCATCCCAAATATCCCGCTTTGCAAGGCCAACTACCAGATCACGCCGAAGTTCCTCATTTGATTTTTTTCTGATTTTATCTAGAATATAATTTGAAGCCCATCTGTGTCGAGCTTTTCTGTAGGTTTCATCTAGAGGCCACAGATGTAGTAATCAGCTGCTGTAGGATACATATGTGCTCTTCTCAAACATACATTGTAGAAACTTTATCGGCTCTTGAAGTTCATTAATAGCTTGTTCAATATGTCGAAAAATACATTCTATAACAACTGAATGACTTTCCACAGAATTATCCTTTTTAGCAATCTTTTTAGACATCATTTCAGCAACTTGCAAAACATATCTCGGTACACCACCCACTCGATCATATATTTCTTTCATTAGATTTTTATCCAAGTTTAGAAACATCTTCTCTCAACATATCTCAAGTTCATCTACATTCCAAGGTGACATATAAAAAATATCTAAAAGTACTTTGTCAAATTCTTGATATTGTCTGTCATTATTTGAATTAGAAGTGCTTGCTAGACTTTTTGATGATAAGTTGACTAAGGTCTTTGCATTAACTACTTCAACGTCTTTATGTCCATCTATAAAGTACCATACATTGGGATGCCTGAAGAACACTTTAAAATCTTCATATACTCCAGAACGAACGAACGATGTTCCAACAAAACAATAAAATATGTCTTTTTTTTCACTTATAGGTTTGAAGAAGATGATTTGAGGATTGTTTTCATCACTCTCACTCAAGAGTCTGATGATAGTGTAGATAAGGAAACATGCCTTACCAATTCCTGATGTACCAGTGAGGAGGCCACGTGTCAATGAAGAATGAATTATATCATAAAGTTCTCTATAAGATTCTCGTACATAAATTATTGGCATTCTAATTACTGGAAGTTCTTTCCCCTTTGGCTGTTGGATAAATTGTAAGTCTATCCAACTTTTCTCATTGTTCTTAAGAAAACAAGCAGTATCAAAAAGTGCAGTAAATTCATTAACAACTATAACTTCGTTACCAAGATGTTTGAGAACCTTAGCCATATCTTTGATGTGGAATTGTGATAAATCAATCAGATTATTATGGACATATTTGTTTGTCAGTCCTTCTTTTATTATTGCTTGGTGCAGGTCAATTTTATGGATCTTATTTGGTGGAAGCATAAATTCTGCTGATTCTAAATTATGAGAATTGTAATATAAGTGTAAAAAGAAAGAACAAGTTAAACAAGTGTTATTTATACTATTAATAATAAAAAATTTCTCAAGAGTCCACCAGCATTCATAATAAAGAGAACCATAATACTATATATCAAATAAATAAATAAATAAAATAGAATGAACAAAAAATAATTTTTTTTTTTACGCAATTTGTTCATTACCTTCCCCTCCTCCACCGAATTTCACCAATGCATCCTGCAATTTCATCAC